ATCATCTTCTCCCTTTGACATGTTGCATGAATGTGTGAAGCCATTGACCCTCCGAGCCTGCACTGGAAAATAAACAAGTTAGATGAAACCATCACTGTTACGGATCTTCAGTGTACAAGATATATGAATTCTCTTGCCTCAGTCCCTAAAAACTGAAAGCACATAACTTATTGTCCTTAACACTCAAAGAGGTCACAGTTCATGGTTACCCAGTCTCCTTCCCACTAATTATACTTAGGGTACATCTGTTGATTTCACTGTAAACTTTTATTTTTAAATATCTTCATACTTAGGAAACTCTTGCAAAACACTGTAACAAACACAACAGTTCAGGTCACACAAATTTAATTTTGTTGACATTTGCAACATCTACTAGGTCATTTTCCTGTAACTCCAGCTACTCAGGAGGATTGCAAGTTCAGACAACTTAGCAAGACACTCCCTCAAAAAAAAAAAAAAGAAAGAAGTTATAAAGAGCTGGGGATGTAGATCAGTGATAGAGCACCTGGCATGCATGAGATCCAGGAATGAATCTCCAGTACCACAGAAAATAATTCAGTGTATATTTTCTAAGAACCATATTATAGCCTATAAGTTAAAGTAAAATCATAGAAATCAGTGAAATGAATGGCAATAATATATTATATCTAACTCGTGATCAACACTCAAACTTAGCCAATTTTCTCAATCATATGATTATATTGTGATGTGTGTGTGTGTGTGTGTGCATATTTTCCAGGATCCAATCCAGAATCCACATTGTACTTAGTTTATATTTTCCTTTCATCTAGAAAATATCTGGCCAGCTTCTCTTTATTTTTTTGTCATAACAATTTGACACTTTAAAACATTCAGGCCCATTGTTTTGTACAATAACCCTGAAGGAACTTTATATAATATGTTCCAAAAATGAATTTGGGTCTCAGTTCATGTATAAATTATACACATATAGGGAGGGAGGAGGGATAATGTAAATTTACAACAGAAATATTAGACTCATGCTCTAAGGACCAAGTTCCAATCATCACTTGGAAGTCATGTTAATAGTAAGAACACATGATATAATAGAAGATATTGTGGATTTTACCTCTATGACCTTCCTCTTCTAATTCTGTGATCCCAGTCTACTTTAAAAAAATATATATATATATATATATCTCCCATCCCAATGCAGGGCATTCAATAAAACACCCCACCAGGTAGTCCTAAAAAATGTTGATGTCATGAAAGAAGAAAAACTGATTATAAAACATCACAGTTAAGAAGCGCCAAAGGAAACATGATGACTCTTTGTGATGTGGTGCCCTGGGTGGGATCTCGGAGCAAAGAGAGAACATTTGGGAAACACTCAATGAAGACTGGACTATGTTTTCTCTCTTGCATTATGATATTTAAAATATGCATTGAATATGTTCACATTTCTATGTCCTTGTGCTTGTTTTTCAATTTGTTTCCAGTCCAGGAAGAGCTACTCAGGTCTCCGCCAGAAATTCTCTGTATGGGACCAAAAGGGCATAATAATAGCAAACAGTTGACCATCGTTCACAATATCTATTTCTCAATCTCACCTAGTTCACTGCAAAACAAATAGGGAAAGTCAATGATTCTTTCATCTTGATGACAATATCTGATATCCCAGCATCTTCTACCAGGAAAAAAATCACACCACACACAAGAGCTCATCATCATGACAGAAAACACTTTTGTTTTGAAGGCATACGTTTCCAGGTTGTGGTCCCCCCTGGGACAATATAAGGGGAAATGGTATGGATTGGATGTGATGTGTCGCCCAAAAGCTTATGTGTGAAACAATGCAAGAAGGTTCAGAGATGAAATCATTGTGTTCAGCAAGCTTTTATCCAATTGGTGAATTAATCATCTGAGGGGATTAATTGCAGGATAACTGAAGGCAAAGGGGTGTGGCTGGAGGAAGTGGGCATTAGAAGCATGGCTTTGGAATATAGGCCTGTGAAAAGCCTAAAAAAAAAAAAAAGAGAGAGAGAGAGGATTGCTTAACAAAGAAAGCCATTGAAAATTAACCACAAAGTTTTTTTGTCAGAGAAATTAGTGCAGTTGCTACTAATTTTGCTGCATAATTCCAAGAAAATAGCCTTTACATCTGCTTTTTTAGGATGATTCTTCCAAAGGGCAACCACATGAGATTTTTAGTCCACTCCATTTACACATGACATTTGTTGTGTGACCTACAGAATCAGGGGAAGTAACCGTAACAATGGTAGTTAAAAATTACAGAGTGATTATTTTTGTTAAACTGGTGATCTGAATTTATAACTAGTTTATCAGAGAAACCTTTACAATAATTTGTGGTATCATTTTTTCCATGTTCGTGTATGATTATATCTTGAGGTATTATTTGTTTAGCAAAGTGTGACAATCTACATGGCCCCAACGTCATAATTCCTTTAGAAAACCCAGCCTCTGGGCCAGGGTGTAGTAGCTCAGTGGTAGGGCACTTGCCTACCACATGTGAAGTCCTGGGTTCCATCACCAGCACCACAAAATAAATAAATAAATTTTCAAAACAAGGCCTCTGTTACTAGAGACTAAACTTATCACCATGTTTTACTACTTCAGTATGCTACAACATGAGTGAATTAAGAATGGGTATATGGGTTAGATTTTTTTAAAAGAAAGAAAAGGATAAAAAGCAATAACACCATGCCTCTTTATTCCCAGGTAAGATCTGTGCACTTTGCTTCATCTAAAATATACATAGGAGGCTGAGATTAATTTTTAAGTTGATGGAATCAATTATAATTAGATAATGCATTATAAAAATCATTATGTCCTGGAAAGCTGTATTAAATAGTGACTGGCCTGATCCAAGGGTATTCTAGTGATCTATTTTCATGATCTGTAGGGCCCTTACCTTTTCAGGACAAATGGCCCCTCATGGACTACTTAGGAGAAGTGCAGCTATGAAAATCACCCACTTAGTGGTAAGGTATCTGATTCTAAGATTAAAGCAATTATATATGTTAGTCAGGTTGCCTGTCTGTGACAAAATTCCTGAGGTGAACAAATTAAAAGGGAAAGGTTTATTTTGACTCAGAGGCACGTCATGGTGACCAGGAAGCAAAGAGAGAGAGCAAATGGAAAGGTCTCCATATCACCTTCAAAACTTTATCCCAGGAGATTTAACCTCTTTCCATTAGGCTCCATCACCTAAATGCTCCACAAATACCCATAATCCTAAAGGCTGGGAAGCAAACTCTTAATACATGGGCTTTGGTGAACACTTCAAAACCATCACAACAATTTACTTATTTTACAGCCATTTGACTTATTACTAATGTTGACCACTTTTAATTTACAAGACAGTGCCTGGAACAAAAGAGCCCTTCTATGTTGGTTTTCTGGATCAACAGAAAAAAAAATGTGATGAAATAAATTCTATTAAATTATGAATTTGGGTCCCCTGATGCTTACCACAGGCTCTGTTCTTACACTGACTGTATAGCAAGAGGAGGCAGAGTAAGTCTACCCCATGTATACCTCAGCCCAGTGCCTGGTCTGCATTGTGAATGGGGAAATATGGAGTTGGAAAAAAAATGAAAGAAAGAACAAAAAATAAATAAATAAACTACTAATTTAGTTTAGGTGCAATAATTAACAAGTGTTCTGGCACTTTGCACACCTAATTATAACACAACCACAGTCCTTCAGATTACAATATTAAAGATATGAAATATATTAACACCAGAATAGTGAACATATATATTGATGAATAATCTCTAATGAGCTTTATTCAAAACTTGATGCCAACAGAACATTACAGCTTCAGTATTTAGAAGCAATTGGAAACCTAGATAAGAACATTTTGTACACCTAAAGACATAAGTAATTTAGTGCTTGACAGAATTTTTTAAAAGAAATCTTCATAACCAAGATGCATGGGCTGAATTACCTTTCCCCAAATCATATGTTGACCTCAGAATGCAAATTTATTTGGAGGCAGAGACTCTACAGAGGTAAATAGGTTAAAATGACCCTTTGGATTAGCTGTAATTCACAATGACTGGTAACCACAGAAGAGGAAATGTTCAAAGGAAGACAATAGGAAAACACAGGAAAAGACCAATATCTACACACTAAGGGAAGAGGACTGGAATTCCCAATAATCATTTTTCTTTATGGATGAATAACATTCCATCGTGTACATACGCCACATTTTCTTCACCCATTCATCTGCTGATAGACACCTAGGCTGGCCCCTTTGGTTGGCTGTCACTCACTGTGCTGCCGTGGACATGGCTGTGGGTCGCTAGACTGTGAGTCTGTGAGTCTTGGTTTTCTGAACTGTGAAATGGACATAATGTCTATGTTTCAATCTTGATAAGTAAAACAGAATGAAAAATTAGAAATTGGCTTGAGGCCACTCCACAGAGATGTGGTGTCAAGGGAATGCATGAGAACTTCAAGAGTTGACATTTCAACTAAAATCCTGGCTAAGGCGTGCCAGCTGAGTACCATCCAAGGAGCTGGGGCCTTTTGGAGAGCGCTTACTTTAAATGCTTATTATTCTTCCACAAAAAGAAAGGGACTTGCTTCAAGCAGTAAAAGGAAGCAGAAACAAATCTGATGAGAAGTGATTTAAAGAAAATGGATTTTCAGGGTCTTAGATGCAGCTCAGTGGTGGACTCCTCCTTGATATGCAGGAAGCGCTGGACTCAAACCCCCAGAACCACAAAGAAAAGAAATTAAGACAAAGTTTGTTAGTGATAAGCCCATCCCAATTCCCTCTAGGTCAGGAGCCATCTTGTCAAGGCTGGCTAGGTTGCTGGGCCCATGCCGTGGGGAGCAGTCTGGACTTGGCTAGGGGACAGGGCTGGGGGGAGTCTGGGAACTTGGCTAGGGGCGGGTCAGGCAGCACTGCAGAGGGGACACGTGATGCCGAGGTGAGTTTTAACCCGGCAGGTGTGAGGTGCCAGGGGACGTCCAGGGCAGGGTCCTTGCATTGTTGGGTCGAGCTCAGGAGCATGGCTGGGAAGAGGCCTCTGAAGGGCGGGAGGTGCAGTGCCTCTGGGGAGGGCTGGGCAGGGGCTGCCTGGGTGGCAGGAGCCCCTCCAACCTGCTGCCCTCTGCGGCTTCCTGCCCCCTGCAGCATCCTCGCTCTCCAGGTCCCCAATGCCAAGAAGCTCCAGCGGAAGGAGCAGCTATGGGAGAAGCTGGCGAAGCAGGGCGAGCTGCCCCGGGACGTGCGCAGGGCCCAGGCCCGGCTTCTCAACCCTCCTGTGGCCAAGAGCAAGCCTGGGCCCAAGGACACCATCCAGCAGCTCTTCTATGACCTCTGGGCCCCGGACAGTGAGTGTTCTCGGTGTCACCTGCAAACAGGGCTGGGACTGACATGGACAGTTGTGTGGTTTGCGTGCTGCATGGGAGCACTGCGTCCAAGGGCTGCCCCAGCAGAGTTGAGCACCCTGAAGTGGTGCCCTCTCCCCTGTGCTCCCCTTTCTGCAGTTGTGGGGTCTCGCGCCTCAGCCTGGGGTTAGGGTCATTGCCTGAACCCAGTGTGGCGGTGGGCTGGCTTGGTGTTTGTGAATCTCTCTTCCTCACCTGAGCGTCAGAGCCATTTTTTGGAAATGAGGAGGGGTTGGAGGGAGGCCCTGGGGGTCCCAATGCCAGAAGCCCCAGAGCTGCTCGCTGTCTCTGCAGACCCTCTGGACAAGCCGCTGGAGGGCCAGGATGCCTTCTTCCTGGAGCCGACCAAGAAGAAGGGAGTGAGGGTGAGGAGGGGAAGGCAGCTGGGGGCGGGGGCGGGGGTGGGAGTGGCAGGAGCCCTCTGCTTCCTGGTGGCAGTCTCTGTCTCTGCCTCAGTGCCTGCCATCCAGGTGGCCAGGCTCCTGCCTGCTGTCCCAGCTCCAGCCGGGCTGATGTGCCGCGTCCTTTCTCACCTGCAGGCAGCAGAAGGACTTAATTCACAGGGCAGTTGGGGAATTTAGAGGTGACATGGAGCCGCTGTGGCCAGCACATTAGGCATTTTTTATTTGTGGCCGTCTGTACTGGAGAAGGAGACCCTGAGTGTTAGGAGCCAGGGTCTTGGGGTCCAGCTTCATTCAGGTGACGGGTGTCGGCTTCCTGCTGGGCGCGGCAGCGCAGGCACGGGAGCCTGCAGAGTCTGAGGGTGCGGCACCCTCCTCCCCGGTGGTGTCTCTGTGCGTGGGCTGCCCACGCACAGACTTGGGAGGGGTGGGAGGTCGGGCGACGCGTGGGAGTCCGGAAGCCTTGCTGGAACAGTGCCAGCGGCCTAGGGACGCGGAGGGGGGCGGCGCCAGCAGAGACTGCTGGCCAGCAGGTGCACAGGCCACCAGGCAGGACAGGCACTGTGCAGGAGCCTGGAGGAGGCCAGTGCAGCGGGGGGCTGCAGGCCAGGTGGTGGGGTTGTTGTGACTGGGGTTGGGGAGGCCACCAGAGGGTTTCCTGCAGGACGCAGTGCAGTGCGGGCACTGGGCAGGCACGAGGGGCCAGGTTCACCCGGAGCCAAAGTTATTCGGTGGTTCCTGAGCCAGCATGGGCTGGTGGGGACCAGAACAGAGTTCCAGGACAGAAGCAGCAGGCTCACAGGGGCTGGGTATAGAGAGCTCTCATGGCATCCTCGTGACCCCTTTTCTTGTGACCAGTGACCTTAGCTGGGACACAGACCTAATGGGGAGGAGGGACAAGCACTCCTGGAGAGTGCAGTGGGCACTTGAATCACGTGTGGCCTTGTGAAAACGCAGGTCCTGGTGGCTCACATTCCCAGGAGCTCCGGGCTCCCCTGGGGTGCTCAGGCCAGCTGAGCAACAAGACTGTAGAAAGCATTTTTCCATCATGCTTTGCTCTGCCAGAGGGGGGCGCTCAAGCCTCTGTGGCACAGCTGGAGGTGCAGTGACTACCACTAAGCACTCCCACTGCAGGGGACGACACCATGTGGCCTGTCACCTGGAGAGCTGACATTCCTGCCTGCGGGCAGCTCCCCTGCCCCCAGGACACCTGTCTGCCACTGGAGGGATGCTGGGTCCCACCGGCCATGGAGCCAGGCAGCTGCAGCCCTGGGGCCCAGCACTTTGGGTTGTGAGGTTGCAAGCGCCAGGCCTCCCAGGCTGTCTGGTCCCTTGGTGCTGCTGTGACAGAACCCCGGAGGCTGGGAGATGAACAAGGGATAGAGGTTTATTGCTCACAGTGTAGAGGCTGAGAGCCCAGGATGGAGGCAGCAGCAGGTCTGGTGTCTGGTGGGGGCTGGTCTCTGCCTCCTGGGGGAATCTTGAAGCCCAGCCTTCATGGCCCAGGAGGCGGAAGGTGAAGGGGGGATGCTGGTGAAGCCCCTCTAGGAGGAGTCACTCTGGGACTCGCTCATCTTCTGGAGGCCCTGCCACCTCATGTCATCACATGGGCAGTTAGGCTTCAGTGTGAGTTTTGAGGGACACCTTGAGGCCTCAGCCTGCCTCGGCCTTGCCTTCCTTCAGTGGCCACCTGGTCTCCACATCAAGCCTTCCCCGGCACCTGCTGTGGAGGTGACACCTGCAGGAGCCTCCTACAACCTGACCTTCGAGGACCACCAGGTGGGTGCAGGCCCCAGCCCGGCCCTTCTGGGTCCAGCTCTGCTACTTGGTCAGTTTGCTGTGCCAGCCCTGTGCTGGGTGGCACTGGGGACTCAGATGAGACTGAGAGCCCTCTGAGGTCTGTTCCTAGACAGCAGTGACCCAGGATGCCTGGGGCTGGGAGTGTGGCACTTGCCCAGCCGGGGCGGCCTGGAAGGGGGGGTGTCTGCACTCAGAAGGCTGAGGAGGGGAGTAGGCTTTCCAGGCGGAAGGAACAGTGTGTGCAAAGGCCTGAGGTGGGGACCCCAGCACCCTTTCAGGAGGGAAGTCCTTGATGTAGATGCCAAGGCCTCAGATCCAAAGACTGGCAGCGTGGCAGCGGGGAGATCTGACTGAGTTCAGGTTCACTTCCCAGTCATTTGTTGGAGCACAGATATTGTGAGCCAAGGTGACAAAGCCCCTTTCGTGCTCCCTGGAGGGGCACCTCTCAGGGACAGGGTGCTAGAGAGTTCAGGGTCACTGCCCCAGGTGCAGATCCAGTGCTGGGAAGTGTCCAGTTGCCAGGCGGCCTCTCCACCAATCAGGAGGAGAGGATGTCGGGGGGGGGGTGGTGGGGGGGTGGGGGGTGGGAATGCATGTGCGGGGGGGGGGGGGGGGGGGGGTGTGTGCATCCATCACCCCTGCAAGAAGCTGACCGCCCATTTGCTGTTGCCACCGTGTCCCCGCCTCCCCTAGACTCAGGCAACCCCAGTCTTCCTGGCCTAGGAGCCTGTTTATTGTGGACATTTTATCTTGGTGAAATTCTAGTGTGTAGCAGCCACAGAAGGGACAGGGCAGGTGTGAGGGTCGGTTAGAGCCCCTCGGGAGTGGCAGGGGCCTGAGCATGGGGCGGGGCTGGAGCGGGGCTTGGGACTTGCAGGAGCCTTGGGTCCTCATGTTTCCCCCGACTCTCTCCAGGCCCTGCTCTTGGTGGCCCATGAAGAGGAGCTTCAGCGCAAGAAAGAGGCAGGAAAGCTGGAGCCCTTGGTGGCCCTGCCCGCCACAGAGCAGGCTGCCACCCAGGAGAGCGCAGCCTGCCCCGCCCCCTGCCCCACCCGCCTGGTCCCCTGCCCCTGCTCCCCACCCTGTCCCCTTCCCACACCCAGCCCCCTGCCCCACCCGCCCCTGTCCCCTGCCCCCTGTGGCGCGGAGACCTCACAGGCACCTGGCCGCCTGCCCTCCATGGAGAAGGAAACAGCAGCAGAGGTGGTGGGAGAAGGCCGCGCGGAGGCTGGTGAGCCCTGCCCCGGCCCCTCCTGGACTCCTCTGCTTTCCCGCCCCGGCCTCCCCTCCTCTGCCCTGGGGCTGCAGGTTCTGCTGTCTGGGGCCTCACCCACTGCCTCAGCTGGGACCGTCCAGCCACCCTGGGGAGGGGCAGCAGGGCAGTGAGCAGGGTGCAGCCCCTGCCTGGGCTCATGGCGGGGACTGAGGGCCAGAGAGGACTTTGGAGGTGATTCCGGAGCACAACTAGTGAGGGACGTGAGGGACACTGATGGGCATGGAGGCGACAGGAGAGGCTGGGCCGTGGGCTTGGAGGGCGGGGGGCGGGGGGGGGCACGTGGTGAGTCTGAGCCCTCACCCCGCCCTCAGAGGGTGCAGCAGGCGTCGCTGTGGGCTGCCCGGCTCAGGCACCAGGAGTTCTTCAGGCTGTGCGGGATCAAGGCACAGGTGGCCCAGCGGCTGGTGGAGCTCAGTTCCCTGAGTCCAATCCTGGGTATACCCCCAAAGAAAAAGTGGAGCCAGGGAATCCCAAACACATCTCTCACTCTGAGATGGACCTTCCAGTGTACTCCTTGCTTTTCTAAATAAAGTCCTGTGCCTCTACTGATGCTGCTGAAATTCTTTTCTGTCATGAAAGTCCAAGACCCCACTTGTCCTGAGTTGAGTTCCCTCCATGGAAATGATCCAGGAATTCCTTAGGATCGCCATCCAGTGCCTCTTTTGTGGGTACAGATGACCCTCAGAAACTGCTGGGAGTGGTGGCAAACATCAGTAATCTCAGCAACTCGGGAGGCTGAGGCAGGAGGATTGCAAGTTCAAAGCCAGCCTCGGCAATTTAGGGAGGTCCTAAGCAATTTAGCGACACCCTGTCTCAAAATAAAACACACAAAAAAGCTGGGGGTGTGGCTCAGTGGTGAAGTGCCCCTGGCTTAAATCCCCAGTTAAAAAAAAAAAAAAAAGACTTAGGGTCAGTGAAAGCAAAAACCGAGAAGTTCTGTGCATGTCTTATACTGCGTCGCCAATAAAAGTACTGATTTTATGCCAAATGATTCTTTTTTTTTAAAATATTTATTTATTTATTTATTTTAGTTATTGGCGGACACAACATCTTTGTTTGTATGTGGTGCTGAGGATTGAACCCGGGCCGCACGCATGCCAGGCGAGCGCGCTACCGCTTGAACCACATCCCCAGCCCCCAAATGATTCTTAACTCAATTTTTTTTTATGGTGCTGGTGATTAGAACCCAGGGCCTTGTGCATGCAAAACAAGCACTCTACCAACTGAGCTACATCCCCAGCTTAGTTCAATATTTTTAATGGGAGGAAAATCTGAGGGAATGTGTTTGCTATGTCCCCACAAGAGAATGCACGGAGCCCACTGCAGCCGAGCACAGGGAGGGGGATAGGTGGATCCCAGAGATGCAGCAGACTCTGCAGAGCTCCAGGCAAGCGGCTAGCACCAGGATTTCCTGAGCGAGCTCAGCCATGGAGCTGGAGAGGCTGAGTGGGAACTGCTCCCAAGGGGGAGCAGGCTGTAGGAATTTGGAATTCTAAAGTTTTAAAATGGGAGTTTGCCTTACATTCCAAACCTGTGAAAACTGTCCATTCTTCTTTCCCTAATGTAAATACAAGTTTTATTTTATAAAATGAGTCTTTCTATCCTTAAGGAACAATGTGGGTGATTTGTGATTTATTTATTTTATTATTTTATTTTATTTTGTACAGGAGATTGAATCCAGCGGGGCTTAACCACTGAGCCACATGCCCAGTCCTTTTAATTTTTTTTTTTTTTTAATTTTGAGACAGGGTCTCACTAAGTTGCTTAGGACCTCTCAATCCTCCTGCCTCAGCCTTCTGAGCTCTCAGAATACAGGTGCATGCAACAGCTGTGTTTTATTAACTTTTTCTTCCTATTCTTCCCTCTCTGAGCAGGGTGACTACTTGTCCCCAAAACCATTTCCAAATTAGGAAATTTTCTAGAAGGGCCTACGGGAGCCAGTATGTAGTTGATTTATTTGTATCAGAATAAAGACACGCACTAGATCTAAAGGAGAAAATGACCTAGTGGGTGGCTCAGAGCAGCTTAGCTGCCCCAGTGAAAAGACAGCAATCTGTGTGTTGCATTTCTGCCCAGCGAAGCCCATCAGAAGCTCAGTACCCCAGGTTTTCATTGGCGGAGTCACCATGCACCTGTGTCTGGATGTTCCAGAGGAGAGCAGGTGTGTGCAGTTCTGAGCAGTCCAGGTACACTGACCTACCCTCATCTCGCCTTTTTTTGCAGTTCTAGGGATTGAACCCAGGATCTCCCACATGCCAGGAAAGCACTCTGCAATTAAGCTATGTCCCCAGCCCAAGCCACTCTAATCATTAGGACATGGAGGGATGCATGTACCAGCAAATTTCCCAGAGGCAAGCAGATCAGAGTGGATCTTGCAAGCAGAGCTGTATGAGGACGGCAGCCCCAGACTTCTATGTGAACTCCTTCTTGCATTCCACAACCCCCCCACCCGCCCCGTCCCATGTGCAGATGAATCGTCATTGCAAGGGATTATGTGGCAATGATTGCTGTAGACAAGGTAGAGAAATCAGATCTGGAGAGGAAATCAAGATCTAAAAGAACAGCCAGGGGCTGGGGGTGCAGCTCAGTGGTGGAGCGCTTGCCCGGATGCTCCAGGCTGTGGGCTCAATCTGCAGCACCACAAAACAAACAAAAATTTCAGTTATTTGTTCATTTATTTTGAGATGGGATCTTGCCCAGTCTGGTCTCCAGCTCCTGAATTCAAGTCAGCCTCCTGCCTCAGCCTCCCATATTGCTGGGACCTTAGGCACAAAGCTCTGCCCTGGCCCATGGAACTCCTGATGGTCCTGAACCCAGGGGTACTTTAACGCTGAGCTCCATCCCTAGCTCTTTCTTATTTTTATTTTTATCTTGAGGACGGCTCTTGATAAATTGCTGAGGGTCTCCCTACATTTCCCAGGCTGTCCTTCAACTTGAGATTCTCCTGCCTCAGCCTCTGGAGTCACTGGGATTACAGGAGGTGGGCCACTGGCTTATAAAATTTATTTTCGATAAACTTAGAGACCTAGGAGGCAGGAACCAAGGGCTACCATGCATCTCTAAGTGGGGGACCCTATGCATGGTGGTATTGAGTGACAGCGACTCTATTGAGCATGTCCGTGTGGTGTTTGCGGGTCTGTGTTGTGCTGCGGTGTTCGAGATCCATGTGAAAGTCTGGGAGTGTGTCTGGGTGAGTGTGTGTTCGGAGAGTTGTGTGTGTGTGTGTGTGCCTCCAAGTGCAGCAATGTGTGTCTTGTCCCTGGATGAATGACAGCATGCCCTATCATGTTACTGAGCAGCTGTGTCTCTGCAGGGCTGGTGTGTCATGGGCGTTAGCGATCGAGTCTGTGCAGCATGGTGCTTGGTGCCTGACTGTGGGTCCCAGGGGCTGGCTGTTTGGGTGGCCTTTGTGTTCCTGGGAGGATACATGTGTGTTGTGTGTTGGGCGCTGGGTACTGTCACCCATCCCACCCTGCAGCAGGCTGGCGATGGCTGCGCCTGTGGATGTGTCGTGATGTGGCTGGATACGGACAGGCCATCGTGGTGTCCTGTGGCTGAATAAAGACGGGTGCTGATGTGACTGTGTCTCAGTTGTGCTGGGTTTGGGCGAATGTGCAGTTCTGCAGTCGGGGGAAGGGGTGCTGGTGTCCTCCTGGGGGCTGTGTGAGACACACAAGGGCACGGATGAGTGCCAGCCTGCGGCCACTGATTTCTCTGACCTCTCCTGCGGGGCAACAAGGACCCCTTTGTTCTCAGTGACAGAAGAGGAATGTCCCTCCTCTCGTGAGGTCCTGGCAGTGCTCTGCCACTGAGCCGTGCCCAGGGACTGCTTGTCCCCTCCATCACTGGTATGCACTATAGAGCCACAGAGAGATCACCTGGGGCCCTCTGAACAGTACTGTTATGGGTTGAACCGTGTCCTGCACAAAATTCCTATGTGAAATCCTAACCCCTAACCTCTGAACATGACCTTATTTGAAAATAGGGTCATTACGGACATGATTAGTTAAGGTGAGGTCACATTGGAGTACAGCGGGTCTCTGCTCCAACATGGTTGTTAAAAACCAGGGCACGTGGACACCGACACCCGTGGACATGGCCCGTGAACACGAGGTGAGACCAGGTGGGGTCTCTGCAACCACGGAGGGAGGGAGCGCCAGAGATCCAGCAGGAGGCAGAGGGCAGGAACAGAATGTGCAAAGGCCCAGAGGCAGGGCTGTGGGTGAGGTCCTTGATGAAACCTCAGTAGAGCTGGGGTTTTGGCAGCATTGGAGGGGCCAGAGAGGCACCCTGGGACCAGGGAGAAGTAGGTCATGCTACGCTTTGGGTCGTTGTTCTGAGGGCACTGGCTCTATTTATGAGGCACTCACACTTCACGCTGCCCCCTAATTGCTGCTCCTACACTTGCTCCTTAAATCTGATGCCAGAGATGGGACCTTCTGACCCAGTGAGCACCACAATGACATTGGGCCAGAGAGCAGGAGCACACAGGTAAGGCTTTAATTGGGTGGCTTAGCCTCAAGGAGAGGGGACACCACACTGATAGAATTAGGCTGGGTCCCCAAACAAAGCGAGAAGCTATTTTTTACTTATCTGTAAGGTTATAGGACGTGGGTTAGGGATTGGGATGTTTTTTGTTCTGGAAATCAAACCCAGGGCCACTGAATCACTGAGCCACATCCCCAGCCATTTAAAAACATTTTTTACTTAGAGACAGGGTCTCTCTGAGTTGCTGAGTCTGGCTTTAAACTCTAGATCCCCCTACCTTGGCCGTCTGAGACCAAGGCCACGGTGCCCAGTGTGTTTAGAAATTTTAATGGAGTTTAGATCTTTTAAAAAAAAAATTTTTCCCCACGTGATCACTTTGAGAATTGGTCAGTGTCAGTTTAGAGCCCAACTTTACATCTGTCCTGTTGATGCTGTATCCCTTTTAACCCTGTTTGCCCCACAATAAGGTCACTGCAGCTGTTAAGAGAACACACGGGTATGGCTTTGCACACCTGTAATCTCAGCGACTGGGGGGGTCTGAGGCTGGAGAATCACAAGTTCAAGGCCAGTCTGGTAACTTAGCCAGACCCTGTCTCAAAATAAAAAGGGCTGAGGAAGTAGCTCAGGTGTAGGGGGTAGGGTTTGTCTTGAGTCCTTTGCCCTGATCCCCCAACAATTTCCTTCTCTTATCTAGTTTATCTTTGAAAATGTTCAGGGAAAGATATCTTGGCTAAATGAGGCATCTGGTTTGGTTTGGTTGGGTTTTGTACAGGGGAGTGTGTGTGTTTGAATCAGGGGCCTGTGCCTGCCACTTGCTGGGCAAGTGCTCTACCACTGAGCTACATCCTCCACTTGTTTTTTTAGTACCCATGGCGGTGCTCAACCACAGAGCCACACCCTCAGCCTTTTTTTCTGTTAGAGACTGGGTCTTCCTTAGTTGCTAACTGCCTCCCTAAGTTGCTGAGGTGGGCTTTGAACTCCTGCCTAGGCCTCCCAAGTCACTGGGATTACAGGCTTGCGCCACCACGCCTGGCTTTATGTTTAATTTAGATACTGACTACTGGATCTGAGAAGAGGAGGAGTTCAGGTTGGTCATGTTGAGTTTACGGTGCCCAAGTACAGTCATCGTGGACATCAAGGAAGCACAGGTTCCACAGCTGGAGTTCAAGGGATTAGGGTGGCTTTGAGACACAGTCAAGAGCTGGCCACTCTGGGACAATAAGCACTGGAGCTGAAGGCATAGCTCAGCTATAGCATGCTTAGCATGTACAAAGTCCTGGGTTCCATCCCAACACCAAAAAATAACAAGGCACTGGAATGAAAATACTGGGGTGGAGGGTAAGACTATATGCAGGGGACTGATGATAGCATATCGCCATGATCTCTTCTTGGGCCTTTATACTACAGAATGTTCCATTATTTAGTTCTTGGTGAGTATTCTTTGGGGGAAAGGGAAAGAAACACTGACCTCATTTCCACTCTCTCTCTAGGTTCAAACAGAAAAGGAAAGGGCCTACTATGGAAAAAAGAAAAACGATACATTTGTTAAGCACTTAATATGTGCTGGGCCCTGTGCTAAACACCAAAGATGAATTATCTTCTGGAAAACAGAACAATCCTGGCACAAAAGTCCTATGACTACCATTTCACAGATGGGACACTGAGGCTGGGAGAAAAAGAAAGGGGGAGCTCAGGGCTGTCATGTCACAGCCCACAGTTAGGCATCTCTGGGCCAGATGGAGAATATTGAAGTAGAACAATTATAATACACAAGGGCTGCTACTTAGTGAGGGATGGCTCAGACTGGGAATACAATCTCCACAAATCCTTACAACCTGCTCAGGGTGATACTGTTATTGTCCATTTTTATAAACGCAGAACCTGAGATCACAGGAGGGGAAATCAACTGGACCAGTGTTAAGTCTGACCCGCTGGGAAAACCAAGACTACAGCCAGAGCCCCACGCTAAGAGGGTTTATGGGCCACTAGGAAAACGTTGAATAAATGATACCATCCGCTCAGTACTATATACCAGCTGCAGCGCTCAGCATTTCAAACGTGGTATGTTCAATACATTTTCAAAGCAACTTTATGAAGTGGATGCTATTTAACTCTCCATTTTATAGATAGAGAAACCGAGGCACTGAGAAGTGAAGTCAGTTGTCCAAGGTCACTGGGCTAAATCTGAATCTGAGTCTCTCTGCTTCACAAACCAAAGTGCTTCACAAAATAATCTAATAACCGCAACTACCTGCATTGAGTGCTAACTATGGACTCGGCTCCTCACATGATTCCATAATTTAGCTACCATTACTCCCAAAGATACTGGGTAACTCTTCTACCCAAAAGAAACTAGCAAACCCTGTTAATGTATTTGTCAGCCTGGAAAATTGTTTCCTTCCATAAGGTTAAGTTAATTGCGGCCCCAACCCTAACTATGAAATTGCTTGAAAGCCCTGGGGACAAACTTGGGCTCCTTAGCAATAATGTCATTTAAGAACAGAGTAGGCCAAGTTTGCTTCTGTGATTGGGTCATTCTGGTGTCAGCTGGACTTTGCACCCTGTGAGACATTACCTGCAAGGCTGTATAAACCATGCATGGCCCTACCTCAAATTGTGGAGCACACACCACCCTCCTTTTGGACGGTCAAGTTTTCTTGTTATATGTACTCACAGTACTTGGTATTTTTAAACAGATACAAGTCAGGCACAAGCAATTTGGAGGCTGAAGCAGGAGAATCACTTGAACCCACAAACCCCTGGGTTTTGAAGGCCTTTTCTAACCCACTCCCCAGCCCTGTTCCAGAAGTAGGACCCAAAGAAGATACATGGAACAACAAGAACTAAAGGTAGTGACTGCAAATTTGCTATAGAAGACTACTTTCAACTCTGGGGCCTCCAGAAGGAACTAGTGAGGTAAGCCCAAGCTATAGGGCTGGGCTGGCCCATATAGCCATCCACTGATGTTCAAGATCGAAGCAGATCATGCTGTCTCCTTAAATATGGTCTAAATGAGGGCCTGGGTTGTAGCTCAGTGGTGAAGTACTTGCTTAGCACGTGTGGGACATTGGGTTCCATCCTCAGTTCTGCATATAAATACATAAATATGAAAGTCCATCAACAACTAAAAAAATAATTAAAAAAAAAGACCGTCCAAATGAGTATTGAATGTAGAGATGAAGGGAAAGAAAATGGGGGGAAAATAGGAACATAGCATTCAGCCTAGAAGAATGGAAAGAGAAAGAAGGAACACTAAAGTCCCCAATTCCCACTGTGAGTGGATTTGGGGGTCAGAGAGCTTCCTTAGTATCCTCTGGCAGAACCTCGTCCTCTTCTAATATAGAATCCAGAATTGTGAAATGGCTCTTAGTCTTGAATCGTCCCTGTGTAGCATCAAATGCATCCAAGTGCATGTTGCTCATGTGTACAATGAAAAGAAGATCAACCACTCAGAATTACCTCAACTAATGAAAGCCATGTGCAGTGATTGCATGCCTATAATCCTGGCAACTTGGGAGTCTGAGGCAGGAGGATTGTAAGTTCAAACCCAGCCTCAGCAACTTAGCAAGACCCTAAGCAACTTAGTGTTGCAAAATAAAAAACAAAAAGCGCTCAGTGATTAAGTATCCCTGGGTTCAATCCCTGGTACCAAAAAAAAACCAACAAAAAAACAGCAACTAAGGAACCACACATGGTGGTGTACACCCATAATCAGTTACTCAAGAAGCTGAGGCTTCAAAGCCAGCCTTAGGAATTTAGCAAGACTATGTCTGGGATATATCTCAGTAGCAGAGCATTTGTCTAGCATGTTCAAGGCCCTGGTTCAATCTCCAGTACCAGTACCACCAAAATAATAACAACAATGATGTAATAAATGTGAAGTTTTTTTTTGTGGGCTCTACCACTCTATACATGCAAGATGATGATAGTAGTTTATTTTTTAAGTAAAGGTCAATAGACCTTTATTTTAATTATTTATTTATATGTGGTGCTAAGAATCGAACCCAGTGCCTTACACATGCCAGGCAAGCACTCTACCACTGAGCCACACCCCCACTCCTGATGGTAAGCTTTGCTTGCTGCTTTCCCCCAAATCCCATCATCTAGTCTCTGTGCAACACAAACCGAGACTTAAGTCATCCTGGGGGATGGGTTCTACTGACCTTGCTTGGGGAGGCCCAGGCCATACTGATTGAGAATTCTTTTTTTTTTTTATTGGTTGTTCAAAACATTACAAAGCTCTTGACATATCATATTTCATACATTTGATTTAAGTGGGTTATGAACTCCCATTTTTTACCCCGTATACAGATTGCAGAATCACATCGGTTACACATCCACGTTTTTACATATTGCCATACTAGTGTCTGTTGTATTCTGCTGCCTTTCCTATCCTCTACTATCCCCCCTCCCCTCCCCTCCCATCTTCTCTCTCTACCCCATCTACTGTAATTCATTTCTCTCCCTTGATTTTTTTTTCCCTTTCCCCTCACATCCTCTTATATGTAATTTTGTATAACAATGAGGGTCTCCTTCCATTTCCATGCAATTTCCCTTCTCTCTCCCTTTCCCTCCCACCTCTCGTCCCTGTTTAATGTTAATCTTTTTCTCATGCTCTTCCTCCCTGCTCTGTTCTTAGTTGCTCTCCTTATATCAAAGAAGACATTTGGCATTTGTTTTTTAGGGATTGGCTTGAGAATTCTTAATACACTAAAAAACAGTAACATCACATGTGAGGGTGCAAAAGATCCGCAGCAGAGCTTGTTGAAACCCAGATTGTTGGGCCCTACTCAATAGTTCTGGAGTTTGGCTCAATAATTTGTATTTCTAACAAGTACTCAGGTGATACTGATGCTGCTGGCCAGGGAACACACTTTAGGAATCATTTCTCTAAACTGCTGATGTTTTCTTGATCTAGCAGGCAAGGTTGACCTCCATTGCCCTCTGCTGGCTAGACTATAAACTCAGCTGTTATGTTTCCAGAGGAACTGAAAAGTACAAAGTAGGAAAGGAAATGAGTAGTCATCTGTCTCAGGACTAGGTCAGCCTAAAACCAGCAATTGTCATTGTTCTGCATCAGGGTATATTTAAAGGGGTTTTACATGAGTAATCTTATTTGATCTTTGCACCCATTCTGCAAAGTATTAAAGATTGGTATATTCATTTCACTAATGAAAAAAAGCAAACCCATTGTCACACCAGTATGACAAACTGCTTGACAGAAGGCATTGTTAGAAGTGAGATTTATTCACAATCCAACTGTGAAACATAGAAGTTTGTCCTCACAATGGTCAAAGAGAAGTGAACAGGGAAGCGGGCAATGAACAGATTATCTTCTATAAGGAATTATTACGTGAATGGGGGCTGGGGCTCAGTGGTAGAGCACTTACCTAGCACATGTGAGGCACTGGGTTTGATCCTCAGCACCACATAAAATTAAATAAAGTTTTGTGGCCAATTACAAAATAATAATAATAATAATAATAAATAAATAAATAAATAAATAAATGCTGTTGCTGATTTAAGAGAGGCGGGTAAGGAAAAACCAAATTATTACCTCCTGCCACAAGCCTGGGGAAGCCTGTTATGTAGGGCTGTTAATTCCTGGTGTCCCCTACCTCTACTTCCTCTTTCAGTAGTTAAGACTTGAATGTCAATAGAATTACCTAGAGAGCTTTTTACAGATGAAGTTTCCTGGATTTTACCTCATGGTTCTGATTCAGACAGGGGCCCAGGAATTTGCATTACGGTTTTGTTTCTTTCTTTGTTTTGTTTTTGAATCCAGGGGTGCTTTACCACTGAGCTACATCACCAGTCCTTTTTAAATTTTATTTTAAGATAGCGTTCTCATTAAGTTGCCTAGATTGGAAGAGGATTGTAATCCTCCTGCTTCAGCCTCCCAAGTTGTTGGGATAAGAATCTGTATTTGGGGGGCTGGGATTGTAGCTCAGCGGTAGAGCACTTGCTTAGCACATGCGAAGCACTAGGTTCGATCTTCAGCACCACATAAAAATAAATAAATAAAAGTATTGTGTCCAACTACAACTAAAAAACAATATTTTTTTAAAAAGAATCTGTAATTGAAGATGTTGCTCCCTCTGACAGGAATCCTGGTGCAGGAGATCCAGAGACCCTCGGTAGTGAGAAGAGAGCGAACTTAGTAGCTCCTGCCCAGGGAGCACTGCACGCCCCCCACCCCCCGACTGCCTTTGAACCTATTTCCTCTGCTCAGAGGATCTGCCCTGGCACCTCATTCTATGCTGGCATGCAGTAGGTGCTTAATAAATACCTGTTCAATGAATTTTCTGCCTCCTGAGCCTTTTGAGGGAGGGGTATTCTAGCTTCATTTTACGGGGCAGGGAGAGGGGAATGCAGTAGGTCGAGGTCCTGGCTCAGATGCGCGCCACTCCAACCTGGGTGGCTGGCCCAATGTCTGGGAAACCCACCCGGGATCCAGTGGGTCTTAGTCTTGGGAATGCCATGGCCTGTTAGAAGCACAGCTCGCTTGACATTTTGAGCTCCCAGGAGGCCTGTGCACCAGATTCCAGCCAGAACTGGCATCCTGGGTGTTGAAGGTGTTCAGGTTCCAGGAGCCACAGGGCTTCCTTCAGTGCTCTGGGCGTGTGCCCGGCCGAGGGTGCAGTTGTTTATGCAGCTCTTGTCCTAACCCAGTGCCCTCCATCCCTTCCCTGTTGCCTTACTCGCCTCATGTGGCCACATAATTGTGATCTGCTCACCCCCGTGTGTGGCCTCCCTCTCCTCTCTTTGCCCGGCTTGCCTCTTTTTCCGTGCTGTTTCCTATTACACTCTGGTGTCCGTGTGTCTTAATTCCCTTCTCTGCCTCTTCTGCTTCATTTCTGCCCATCTTATTCTCTTCTCTCCTGCTCCCCACAGGCATGGAGAAGGAGCAGTTGTTACCCAAAATCTCATGGCTGTCCGGCTCTGTCCTTCTCCAAAGAGTCCAGGAAGCAGATGGACTCTGCAGGACT